TACATTTGTACACATTTAAAATTATATTTGGTTATAATTGATGGCATTAAAGCATGAAATGGATTCTTATTTTCCTTTGTCTGCTGTCTTTGACATCACAGCTCAGGATAGTCACAATGGGTAATTTCCATGCGGCACCACAGTGATTTAGTCACATTTATGGCTCAGGTGACTGGCTCAAAACAGCCTTGTTACAGACTTGTTACAAGCATCCATTAACAAAAAATTGAAGTATGCATTTTGGATTTTTGTTTGTGTGGAATGTTAATCTATGAAAGACCCCTCTCATGGACAAATTATTGAAGTCCCTTTTCAAAATTAAACTCTCTGTACATGGATCACAAACACAGTCCCAAACGTGTTTTGTTGCACTGTCAAATAGCGGTGTTTAAGACCACAAACAGGATACTCTGTTCAGAGAGTCTAGTCTCAAGAATGAGCGAGCCTCTCTTTGCCACTAAACGTCCTGTAACTTTTAGTGTAGTCGCTTGTGAATCGCAAGATAGCTGTCATGTCATTTTTGAATATCCTGTTCCAGTCAGTCAGTTTTCACAAGTAGTTCCCACAATATCACAGTTCCCACAAAAATATAAATCAACACAACTGTTTTTAATATTGATAATAAGAAGAAATCTTGCTTGAGCAACAAATCAGCATATTATATGATTTCTGAAGGATCATGTCACACTGAAGACTGGAGTAATGATGCTGAAAATTCAGCTTTGCAACCACAGGAATATATTTTATATAATATATTAAAATAGAAAATAGCTATTTTAAATTGTAATAATATTTCACTATATTACTGTTTTTACTGTATTTTCAATCAAATAAATGCAGCATTGGCGAGCATAAGAGACTTCATTAAAAAACATTGAAAAATCTTACCGACCCCAAAATTTTGAACTGTAGTGAACTGGAATGTATGTACAATCTGTTTCTCACACAAAGCTATCACATGGGTTCAGAAGACATGGAATATAATACATAGTCATATGGACTACATCTATACTTTTATAGTGCTGTTTTGTCTTTTTCAAGCTTTTAAGCTATTTCATAATTGTGTGGCAAAAACAAAAAGCAATTGGCACAATCTTCAAAATATCTCATTTTGTTTTCCACACAATGTTTTCCACACAATAAATAAAGTCATACAGGTTTGAAACAACATGAGGTTGAGCAAATAATGACAGTATTTTTTTTTACTTTTTGATAAACTGTTACTGCTATTCCAATGAAAGGTTCTTCACACTAAAATCTCTGGCTGATGAATCATCTCATGAGGTGAATGTTTGCAGACCACTCTCACAATTCCACTGAATAATTCAATGTTTTTTTTTTTTTTCAGAATTGTAGCATGTGCTTTACAATACCTGGAACATCTTGACAGATCAGTGACATGTCATTGATGAAACGCATCCAATTCTGAGCTAGCAACACTCATCGAGAACACAAAAGCTCAGAACAGCAACGACTTTTGTACCATCAAAGTGTTACAAAAAAGCTCCTGCTTCACCTGAAACATGAAAATGACGCATTGTGTCTTTATATATAAACCACTCGTGACAAGAGCACATATATTAACTCTCCGCTTTCCTCTGTGCTTGATGCGTGGAAACAAAGGTTGAAATGTGCCGATATTTCTAGTTGCCTGGTTTTCAAAGAGCACTCTTCCATGATGGCGTGTTTCTGTGATCTTCTAAGTGTCGCTGTGAACTCATATCTCAGCCTGGAGAGAAATGATTGTCATGCCTGAGTACTTCTGCTCAAGGTCAAAGTAGTGCCCCTACACCGTTTTTCCCCATCACTTTCATTTTGTTGACCATCTTATCGATTTAATATCCATCCAGTTTGTGTCATGTGACATGGTTCATTTAATCATTTCAAACTTATTATAGGTGAGGGTAAAACAAGAAATAAAGGGTCAGCAGAAGAGCACAGTATGCCCATGTTCATTATATTTCTTTATAGCAGCCTTTGTCAACATAACAATAATGGAGTTTTAGTTCTTAAAACTAGTTTTTATTAATGATTCGTGGTTTTTTTATGTCTTAGTGGTAACACTTTATAATAAGTATACAGTAATAAAGTACTTACCAAATCATTAACAAACTATTAGTTCATATTATTCATAGCTACATTTGTTAATATGTTGTTAATATATAAATAGGCTATATACAAATAGTCAAGTCATGTTACTTTTATTATATAGCGCTTTATACAATACAGATTGTTTCAAAGCGGCTTTGCAGTGATAACAGGAAAATGATGCATTTTGTCTGTTGTTCAGCTGAAGTCCGTTCAGTGTTGATTCAGTTCCGTTGTAAAGATCAGCAGTTATTAAATTAGTTCATTTCATCTGTAAAGCAGTTCAGCAAAAAATGATGTCAGATCAATAATAATTGTTGAATATTAAATAGTGAGTTCTTCATTCATTGTCACTGTAATTAACGCAATTATTCTTGTTTAATTAGCTCGTAGTAAAGGACTTGTTTATTGGTTATTAAGAGCAAATAGTTCTCATTTTAGATTAGGTCACAGAAAATGGGAAAATGTCATTAAAAAAGTGCTTTGAATATGAATGCAATAAATGTCTAATAAAGGATGGTTAGTGTTCCTGAAAATGTTTACAAATATATTTAAGAGCACGCACACACGCACAGACACATGTAAGCACGCACCTCTCTATAGGCTTAATGGTTTTTATACTGTACAAACTGTAGATTCCATCTCCATACACTAACGCTAAACGATAGTGTATATATATAATTCAAGGTTAATACAGATGTAATTATTCTCTAATAAACGTTGTATTAAAGCACTTAATGACATTTTATGTGACCTAATCTAAAGTGAGAACTACTTACAGATAAGGTGTTAAAAAAACATTATCTAACTCATGAGCTAATTGTCACGGAACGTGGTAGGAATCTCACGAAGACGAGGAGTAATACTAGGAGATAGGCCCAGACTTTAAAAACAATATTCTGGAAACAGGGAATAAACCCAGGAGTAAATCCAGCCTGATCTAAAAAAAAACACACATGCTAACGTTAACGAGAACCGACAATTAACTGAAAGAGACGGGGTATAAATACACAGCGAACTTAACGACAGACAGCTGAATGTAATCTGTAACCAAGGAGACTAACTAGCAGGTGATTAAGACCGAAGCACATGAAACAAATACACAGGAATGAAATAAACATAAGACACAATGAAACTGTTACACCAATTAAACTGTGACAATTTGGTTAATTACAGTGACAATGAATGAAGAACTCATTATTTGCATAAAGCCTATTATATTTTTTATTTTATTTTATAATAAAAGTGTTTGTGTTTTGACTGCTATGAAAATGAGTCTGTGAGTACACCGCTATGGATTTGTACTGTGGTTTAACAACATGCTAATTTTTCAGCTTTCCAAAACGCTTTCGATAAACAAAACCTCCATAAAACAGCTGTGAAAATGACATCAGCCTCCTTATACCAACCTAAAATTCAAAATCTACCTTGATTAAGACCTTGATTTACCTCAACATAGACCATAATCACATACCAAAATCAAGGTTCCATTGTTACTGGACTGTATATCAAAACTCTTGGAACACAGCCAATTGGATTGGAATAAACTGTAGTATAATGTAAAATATTGGAGCAAAAAGATTTTTGATCCTGAAAACCCAAACATTTCTGATTCTCACACTGTGTTATGTGTGCAATTCATGGTTAACCAGAAAGAGATTTGCCAGGAGCTGTGAGTCATCATCCAATGAAGTTAAACTCATGTGGAGGAAATAGCTGTCAGAACGGCTGTGATTGTTTGTCTTCACCAGATGTATTTGTACGGTATTGAACTGTCACTGTGTAGGCGACATGCTGCTGTCCCTGCTGTCACTACAAAGAAGGCAGTAAATTATCAGTGGAGCACGACCGTGCAAGACTATCAAAGGTAGTAGACTGTTAGACCTGACTAATTGGTATAACAGGCATATTGATTTCTTAAAAAACATTTAGTTCAAATTACAAAGGTAATTCCCTCTGATTAATGTTAAATGTTTTGAAACCTCTTACTGTAAGTAAAGTTGTGTTTGTTCCTGTAGGAATTGTTTTGATCAATTCTATCTTCACTGAAGTTTTGTCTTGCACAATAAGATTGTTTATTGGTTTTAATGTGGAAGGACACATTATCTTGGTCTGTCACAATGATCTAGATATAGCTTCTGGAACAGCTTTGCTGGGTTGTGGCCATGTTTCTTTCAATTGTTTCCCCCCCCCCCCCCCCCCCCAGAACAATAATAAGAAATAATGTGGTAACTAGTTGTTTGTACGCTGTGCACATTGTGCACGATTATCATTCAAGATCATTCTTATCATTTTTTGCCTTGGATGAATTTTTTATTATATATAAAAAGAAAAAGTATAAAATGGACTACTCACTTTTATCACCCAGTGATAATAAAAGGAAATGCCAATGGTGGTAATGTTCATTAAATTGTAATGTAAGGTCTGTTAACCCTTTACATTCCTGCCGACAAGGAGGAACCAAATACGATGCCTGCCATGATGTCTAGCAAGAACTATGGGTGTTAATATCAGAACAGTATGAGCTCAGTTAAACGGTTAGTTCACCCAATAATGAAAATTCACTCTCATGTCACTCCAAACCTGTGTGACTAAAGAATATGCTTTGAAGAATGTTGGTAACCAATACATCTGAAAAAAAAAAAAAAAAAAGAGACATTTCTCAAACCATCTTCTTTTATGTTCCACAGAATGACAAAAGTTAATTGATAAATGATGTAAAACGAAGGCCACGTTTTTGGGTGAACTGCATCCTTTAACATGAATACAACACCATGAATGCATTAGGCTAATGTCTATAATGTAATGAAACATGCCATATCACAAGTATGCTACAGATTTCAAATGTGGAAACTGTGCTTTTTGTGGCTCTCTCACCATCAAAAACCAGTGCGCATAATCAAAAATTAACGCAAAAATATGCTTAATACAGTTTATTTTAGATGAGAAAAATGGTAAGACATGCCATTAAATGTTTAGGATACTGATGTGAGAATTTGCTAATTAACACACTTCTGAGTGTTGTATGGGAGGGAAAAAGGAGAATGTTGCTTGATAAGTGGCATCACACAAGGGTGCGGGTGATACAGATGTTCTTTTATTTCTTAATTTCTTACTTCTTTCGGCTCTATTAAAAAAAACAGTATGTCCTATCACACACACACACACACACACACACGCGCAATATTGGCTTCAGTATTCAAGCACAGGGAAACTGTAAAATCTATTGCAGCTCTGCCTGCATTACAGCCTTCATTAAAAGTTAAGCCTAAGTTTCAAAAGTTTTACTGTGCTCAGTACACTGCATGAATATATTTTAAATATACCTACTTAAGATTCAGACAAACATTCGCACTGATGAAAAGCATGTCGCAGATGAAGGGTTTAAGTAAGCTTGAGTATGATGTGAGATCAGAGTTGAGAGTGCATGGCTTGATGGATGGATTCGGCAACATAGTCTAGGTTACGGCTGTTAATGGCACTAACGTTTAGACACCCGTTGGGTAACAAGTAGATGTGTTTCCTTTGAATCAGAAACTCCACCTGTTGAGCTGAGGGAGAGCATGAAATTCATTACTGTTTTACAGTGTTAAATGCATACTGTAGTATTGAACTACCTGTGTAATATTAGCATTAGTTATACTGAACTGCTAGCTCAAAAATATGAAGAAAGTGGAAATAAAATACCCTGTGCATGTATTATGTATACCACTCACCATTCAGTCCAAAGCAGCAATAAAGCCCCCCAGGTTTTGTTATGTGATCCCAACGCCCCGGACCACCCAAAAGCCTCAGTCTCTCACGCAGACGTTCTCGGATTAGCATGCAGTGTTCAGCAATGCCCTTCACACCCTCCTTCCTGAGAAAATACTTCAGACTCAGTCATTTACTGAATAATAAAAAGGGCCGTTTTTAATTTCAGCTGAATGTTTGCATAAATAATTGAAAGCCTTGGGCATTTGTTCAAGGTCAAAATCAAAATCATTACAGCATTTATGCATGTTCACAAGTGTAATGTTCAGATAGAGATGTTCTTAATTATAAATGCCAATTTCAGAAGTGAATGATTTCACATTGCTTTTGAACATTAAGCTTAAATTAAATGGCTATGGTCAATAACAAACTAATCTATTCAGGCAGCTATTTTATGAAGAGACTGTGACAATCAGATGCTCTAATACAAAAGTGCCAAAGACCACATACACATAAAACGTGTTTAGATACTTAAGCCACACTTAAAATGTATGAATGTCTTTGCATTATATGGTAAAATGTCAAACTAAATGGCATTAAGCAGAGATAATAAATGTTTTTTTAAGCAAATCATTCAATAAAAATACATTAAATTATAAAACAATAGATGTACTGTTCAAAACTAACACAAAGTATTAATAATGTTCATAAATGTAATGTGATGAACTACCTGGATATCTGTGTGAAATTGAGGAGAACTGACTTCATTCATCCACTAAAAATCACATTGAAAGCATCTTGATAAATCTTTCTTTTTTTTCTGAGAAAAAAGCATCTTGTTGCATTTGTTTGCACATGCCTCTTGGGTTTGACATTGTTTATGCAATGTAATTCAGTGGCATTCCTGCATTTAAAGTGTGACTTAAGCATCCAAATACTTTGTGAGGACATTATAACACAAAAATGCTGTGAAATTTTTTTTTTTTACATTCAAGCATTTAGCATATGCTTTTATCCTAAGCAACTAAAAGAGGAACATAAGCAATTGATCGCAGAGTTAGCAATATATAGCATTCAAAAATGCCAGGGGCCAGTTGCATAAACTTTGCCACTTGTTAAGACTGTGTCTTAAGAGCTAGCAGCAAGACAACTAGCAGCAAGACAAAAATTAGACCGATCTACCTTTTTATGTAACTATCTTAAAAAAGTTAGAACCAGCCATAAAGAAAAATAATTAGATGAATAACTTTTGAGACTAGTCTAAGCAGTTTATGCAAACGGCCACGGGTTTATTAGAAAGCAAGACTAGAAAACAAGCTAGAGCAGAATTGAAATGCAAAGAATGTACGGACATTGAAAGAAGTCATGACATGAACAATCGAATTTGCCTTGATCGTTTGACATATACGAAGGCTTTGTACCATTAAAAACATCCTGTAAGTTTCATAGTTTAAAATGTCGTTCTCATTATAAACAAAGCATTTACTTACTAAGCTTCAAAAATGGCTCATTTTGATATTGTGGGATTTTTGACATCACATCGGCAAATACATTTACATATGACTTCCCCCAGAGCAAGACATCAAAGAATAGTAACACATCATTGTACCATAGTATGTACATCGTAACATATTAAGATAATAAAAATCCATGTCATGACCGCTTTAAATAAACATTTTAATCATGTTAAAATGCATTAATGAATGGAATAAATCTTACCACTCAACTAAATGGGCAGGATTACTTAATATAGTGGCAACCACCCTGGCCCCTTCCATCGGTGGGCAAGACCAAAGAGTCTGAACGAGTTTCTCAGCTTGAGATTGCACGGCCAGCATGTTCTGCTTTAACACGCAGAGAAGATGCCCCACTCTCTCACCTGTCAATGTCAGATGCCAAAATAATAGTCTAGTAGCTCAACACTGAGACATGGTTTTTAGTCATTTCAACTATACACAATTTCAAATGGAACAGTAAACTCACCATAGAGGCCAAAGCTGTAAGAAAAAGATTGAGCGCAGAGCAGTTCAAGCCCCAAAGACACACAATGACGAACAGCCCAGGCGTCTTGCTCAAGTGAACCACTGCACAAGCCTTGGGCAGACATCAAGAAGAAGGGAAACAACTGCCGCTTCTAATCAAGAGAAAGAGAAAAAATGGGGTTGAAAGACTTCCAGATAACAGGAATTTCATTCAAGGAATCCTTATATATCAAATGCTACTGACCCACACTGTGGCTATTAGTGATAAAAGCTTGAACTATGCTATATATACACTAATCATTATGAGATCAAAGCAATACTCCATCCATCAATGGTCAGTCTAGTATACATCTGATAGCATGTATTAAGGCCCCGATATACTCACGGCGAAGTTCTTTTTTGTTCTTCGCTTTGGGGTAAAACGAAATTCAAAATTGAGCAGCGATATACTGTTAGCGAACATCTCAACGCCGCCCACACGACTGCTGAGATATTTAGATGAATATGCAAATATGTGTTGCACGCTTTCCTCTTAATAACAATTTGAGCACACAACAATAAGGAGAAAATAGCAAGCATTTTTTAAAGAAAGCATAAGTAAAACAACTGATCATTTCAACGTGGATGTTTGCACGAGCTCTGCAATTCGGCACTCCAGTAAAGTCACATCACGTTTATTTATATATGGAACTTTATACAATAGATTGCTTATAATCAAGCACCGTTGCAGTATTAAACATGAAAAACAGTGTCAGTGTCTCATTTCATCAGAAGTACAACTTCATTTTTTATCATAAAGCAGCTGTCCAGTATGTTCATGTTTTTACTCGCGAACGTCTGATATCAATGGATTAAACAGAAGTAATGAACCAGAGCAGAGGAGATTTCCAAGTGAAAATAGGCGGAGCCTCAGCGCACACCTACCTTTTACGTAATCACCTAAAAGGTGTTTAGCAGCGGGAATTAACTTTTCCAGAAAGTTTGCTTTGGCAAGCTTAAACTTAAAAAAACAACAACTTTGTTTTGGACTGATTTTGTTTGAAATGATGCCACATCACTTCATTCTTCTATTTCGCTTGACGTATATTGGGGCCTTTAACCAGATATTTGTTTACTTGTTTTAACACAAGTGCATAGAGACTAACTTGAACTATGGATCAGAAAACATGAAAGAAAGTGTTTAAAAATTATCTCATTCTCATGGTGAGAGGTTCAGTGAGGCTGAAGAATATTTGTTCTTACCCTAAGGGTCTAACTGGGCTTACACACATGATCATGAACTTTCGAAATAGTTCAAGAGAAAGACGTCCGTTTTTAAGCTCGATTTCTTGTTTCATTTTGAGATCATACCATCATGACCTCAGCTACACGTTTCCAGTCCTCTTGAGAGAGTTCTGCACCAGTGGGATGGTGGCCTGAAGCAAACAGGACCACCACACACCGTTCCGGAGTATTCTCCAAGTCATGCACCATGTTTTCCACACACACAGCATTGGATTCTGTATCCCAGTACCGATAATGTTGCACATCCTCAATCCCTGCTGCCTTAAAGGTGTCTGTCAGTGAGTCTTCAAGAGACGACAAAGAGATTACCACATTGTGCTACGATGGCATATTCAAAGCTCAGATACTTGTAAGGTTCATCTTCAGTTTTTGGTCCAAAATTACTGAACATTAGAATTTATTTCTAGATACAAGAAAAAAATTAAACATTATGGCATGTGCACATTTTGTACCCACCATCACAGGGAGAGGAGAGCAAGATTGGTCCACTCCAGGAAGAACTTGTGCAGTACCAGGATCTCAGTAACTCAGCGCCCAAGCGCACTGCTCCGGTACATCCAACTGTTTGGACGCCAAACACCTACCGCATTTCCAAACACATGTCAAATTGAGTTGGTGGTTGGGAAAGTAGGCTAAATCTAATTAAAACATAAATATTTCCCAACTCTTTTTTTTTGTCTTAGTGTGTACCCTCAACCCCCTCAATGAGGCTCAAATACCCTTTTGCCAAACCAGAATGTGAAGATTATCATTTATTTGGCGAAAGTGGCCATTATCATTATTAATCCTGATTTACTTTTAAAACAACAACAAAAACATTTAATAATGGGTACAGGGATGTCATGCAACAAATGTTTTGGAGGGGCACCAGTTGAAGTCTTGGGTCCCTTGGTGCAAGATAATTCAAGGAACCATTCACACAGAACGTGTTTTTGTGTTTAAAGGTCAATTCGCACTGCACCGAAAGACGGCAACAGACACTTTTGTGTTAACCGTCGTTTGTTTTTGCCAATTGGACACCTTTGTGGAATGTCTGAGAAGTAACGTTCTATAATCTGGGGATTGTCCCCATTGGTCTATCAGTGCAGTGTTAATTGGCCTTAAAAACGCAAGACAGTGGAATGAAAAAAAGCAAGGTCTACAGAAGTGTATTTTAAAAGTTTAAATATCTAGTTCAATCATAAACTCTAGTTTGCACAGGCTGATAGGTCATTTAAATGCAATCAGCTATCAATCACGTAATTTACTACAGTGTTTCTCAACCCTGTTCCTGGAGGCACATCAACACTAAACAGTTTCGAACACTTCCTAATCAAACACACCTAATTCAACTCATCAGCTCATTGGTTGAGACTTCAATGTTGTGTTCGAAATCACCCCCTATACCCTCATTCACTATTCCCTATATACTCCACTAATATAGTCCACTTGAAGGAGTGAACGAAAACGAGCGAGTGAATTCAGACACAAAGTGCATAATGGGTATACTCTAGCCATTGAGCTTGAACTCATTATTGCGGTGCATTGTGGGATTGAAGTGCACTCGTTAACATCCTCAATGGTTTCGGACACCACTACAAATGGCTGTCCCCTCAAATAATAAAATTTGAAGGGTCTAAGGGACGATTTAGACCAGAAATAGATAGGTCAGAAAAGGGAGACATCCAAAATGTGCACTGTTGGTGTAGGAACAGGGGTGGGAGAGACTGTATTACTACATGGCACTGATTGACTTGCTTGCTCAACATTTAAATAGTCTGATTAAGTATTCGCTGAGATCTGCTATGGGACTTTTAAACGAACAGACCATGCACATTGCACAGTGCTTGAAGTGGGCCTATACGCAGTGGTACCGGCACATCTATATTTTAATCTGTAGCGTAAACTCGTTTTTTACTTGCTGAACCACCTCACCCACCACTTCGAGCACTAAGCATGCAAGGGTTGTCAGTTCAAGAGTTGTCAGTTCAGAGTTGTCAGTTCAAGATTAAAAACTGAACATACAATTATTATTATTTTATTAAATAAGAGAAATTGCAATTGATAGTTGCGGTCACTGATCAACATTTGTTTTCAGCATATGGAAAAGAATTTTCCATTTTCATTTTGATGGTGATTTTTGTCAATTTTAGACAAACGCTTCATCATCCATAATAATCATGCATTTTAATTATCAAAGATATGATTTTGCTTTCAAAATCAACTCAACTCAAACAACTGGGCTTGTGGGCACATGTTGCCTCCTTTGTGAAAGACTGTGTGAAAAACAGACTCACCATAATAAGACACCTGAGCTTGTTTGTCTGTCACACGTTTTGACCGTTCTGGGGGACAATCATGGATAAACTTTTTTTATGAGAATGACCAAATGTCAAATTTATTTATAAAAGAAACCAAAAGTTGCAATCTCTGTTTTATAGGTTTAACAACTTTAAGTCCCCGCACATGACATTATATTCCTCTTTTAAATTGTGTGGATTTGCTTGTTTCATCTGGTTGCAATGCTTAAGGTTGACAGAAATGTGAAGACTGGGTTTTTGTCAGCCCTGAATATGAACACTAAAGTATCATGTTGATCAGTTCAAAAATAGTAAAGTGATCAGTAGAGGTTAGTTTCTATTCTGCACCAATATTTCTAATGTTTGACGTGGGTGACTAATCCATTTGCGTCACATCTTCTCCGTAGTTCAATAATACAAATCTATATGCAGTTTACAGCTTGTACTGACATTTCACGATAGTGTTGAAGACGACCGGCTTTACACTATCTACAAACAAACTACACATTGGATATGTACCAAGCCTCTACAGTGCTATCAGTGTATTCAGCTTGCGAATCGGTGTTGATCACATTGGTCTACACAGTGTGACGTCGGTTACTGAAAATAATTAAAGGACATTACCCTGCTTTCAACAATGGCGGGGCAATCTTTGCCCAATGCTAGTTCGGTTGCTCTCTGGGTGAATTCTGGGATCCCAAGGATAGGTGGGTACTCTGGGGTTAGAGTCGGGTCAGTGGCAATTTGCTGCTTAATTTTTCGTACAAGAGGAAGCCATGCGGTGTGTCCATGTTCTCCAACATACTCTGGTCATTAAGAGAAATGTACATTTGATTATAAACAGGCCATGTTGTGAAGTAAGAAATATGTAAGAGTGGTCATTTTTGGTATTCCTTTTAAATGACCTATGAAATAATTTGAGAATGGAATGGTTTTTACAATAAAATAAAATGCTATTGCTCATGAAAAGTAAATGGTATGTAAGATGTATCATAAATATGTTTGGTGCATTTTCCTGTATATCTGACATTTCAGGTGTACAATGATCTTAAAGGGACAGTTCACCCACAAATGAAAATTCTGTCATCATTTACTAACCCTCAAGTTGTTCTAAACCTGTGTGAATTTCTTCCTTGCGTTGAACACAGAAGATGATATTTTGAAGAATGTGGGTAACCATAGTTTCTGGTCACAATTGACTTCCATACTATTTTTTTCCTATACTATTGAAGGTCATGAAGTCGTTTGAAAGACTGGTGTTGGCCTACCTGAAGGACATCACATGACCCTTGCTGGATTCTCTTCAGTTTGCCTACAGAGTAAACAGGTCTGTGGTTGATGCAGTCAACATGGGACTGCATTATATCCTGCAACATCTCGATAGACCTGGGACTTACACAAGGATCTTTTTGTGGACTTCAGTTTGGCCTTTAATACCATCATCCCTGATCTTCTCACAGCCAAACTGACCCAGAGGATCATTGCAGACTAGCGGCTGAATGGTGTCGTCACAACAACCTGGAGCTGAACACACTCAAAACTAAGATGATCGTGGATCGTTTACTCCCTTCTCCAGCTGAGGAAGTTCAACCTGCCACAGGAGCTGCTGAAACAGTTCTACTCGGCCATCATCGAGTCTGTCCTGTGTTCATCTAGAACTGTCTGGTTTGGTTCAGCTACCAATTCGGACATCAGGAGACTACAACGGACAGTCAAGGACGGCTGAGAAGATCATTGGATCCCCCTTGCTCCAAGATCTTTGCACCTCCAGAGTGAGAATACGGCTAAGAAAATCTCTTTGGATCCCACACACCCAGCCCACTCTGTCTTTGAACTGTCGCCCTCTGGCTGGCTGGTGCTACTGAGCACAGAGCATCAGAACAGTGAGTATCAGAACAGCATTGTCTACCATAACGGTTGTAACATTAAAAAAATAAAAATAAACATAAAATTTACATCTAAAATTGTATCAGTAAATTATATCACAAACAGTACACTTGTACACACCATATCTGTACATTCATTAAAACAATGATATATATTTTTTCGATATATTTCTACTTCTGTATTATATTGCACTATTTGCATTTTTGTTTCTTATAGTATTGTTATATTTCATTTCCACTGTGTAATTCCTATATATGTCTGCACTATGTCTCTAACTAAGTTACTTTCTGAAGCTCCTATCACCAAGACAAATTCCTTCCTTGTGTGTGGTGTAAACAAGCTTGGCAATAAAGCTCATTCTGATTTTGATTCAATTGGGACCAGCAACTGTTTGGTTACTCATATTCCTCAAAATATCTTCTTTTATGTTCAACAGAAGAAATTCCTACAGGTTTAGAACAATTTGACGGTGAGTAATTGATGGCAGAATTTTCATGTTTGGGTGAACCATCCCTTTAAGAGCAAGAGAGTTAAAATTCAATTTTGATTTTATAGGGTCTTTAATTTAACCATCATCATTATAGGTAGTAGTCCGTGTCCAGTTTGAGGCAGATCTAGTAAAATCACTCACCCCTCCCAGCTAGATTCACTTTATCGGGGTGCGTGTCTCGCTTGAAATCCTCTGTAAGCTTCATCTCGGATGATATGAAGACTGCACCATCAAACACAGAACAAGTAGACATCTCGTGCTGGTGCATTACATTGTTTTCCCACTGTAAACACGAGTCATTCTCCAGATCTGTCAATGACAACCTGCAACGGTTTGTTTACTGTCTGTTGCTTAGCTGCTAGATGTGTGACTGTTTCCTAGCAACGGCTCATTAACACTATAAACTCTGCCATAAGTCATGATGTCATACCCCCACCAAGCTAGTTCATCTATTGTGGTCACTGCTAAGTAAACAAAACATTAATTTGACAATTAACAACATTCTTTCAAAGGACAGATTAATCAGGTCACATAAACTGTACTGCACGGTATATACTTTATTTCTTGAGTCAGTTGTGTCTTTTTTATTTGTCATTATGTGTTTGCATATCTCAGTCTACAGATGAGGAAAAAAACATCATATAAAATTGTGGTATTATTTACACTCATATTTTATTATTTTACAAGACTGTTTTTCATTAGCATTAAAACACTTGAGGTTAATACAGTTTTTCAACATTGAGCATCATGCTTTAGAAACAAACATTGATAGGGTGCACTGTCGCCACACAGGATCCATGGTTCAAACTGTCAAAATAAGCTCTCATCACTAGCATTCAACCATCTTCATCCTCTTCTCCTTCAGTCATTTCAATAGGATTCACTGCAAAACGGTAGAAATTAATATTTAGCATGGCTGAGCACCATTAAAAATTGAATAGAATGCAACAGTGCTGGTTCCAGAAATATTTTTCCCCCATTCATTTATAAAACTACTCATTTACAAATGTTGACTATATGTATAAATTATATATTTTAAGTTTAAGTTAAGTAGAGAGATTGACTCGATTACTTCGCAGTGATTCATGGGAGTGGGAGGAGCTAAAGAGCTTTTTTGGGGTTTCCTTTTCTGTACAGCATCATGGGTAATGTAGTTTCACATCAGGAATTCCATTGTTAAACATGATTTAAAAAATAAAATAAAATAAATAATGCGGGCTGAAGCCTTCATCAGAAGCAAATACCATAGATTAACAACCTTGTAGCTCAGAGTAAGGCTGTCTTTAAAATATCTAAGTTTATAAGTTATCGTTCAAAATCAATTTCCAGTTTTTACTTCCGGAACACGAATGTTAAACTCTATTGGAAATGCCTATAAATTATTTAGCAAATTTAAATTGATAAAAAGAGCATGCAGAATTGTAATTCAAATTTGAATTTAAGAATTATTGTTATCATTAGGCTACTATTATTTAGAATTTTTCTTCTTTTTAAATAAACATTTTCATACATGTGGAGCATTGTGGAAAATTACAATATCATCCATTTCACCACTAATTTTAAGGTCAATATTTATTTTTATACAGTTATCTGAATAAATTGCGAAAATATTTTGTAGTGCTGTAAGGCAAAATTAAAATTTGTGTTGTTTTAAATTGAAATTAGTTTTATTTATTTTCATAGTTGGAAATTTATGAAGGCTAATCAACTTACACTTTAGAAAAAGGCAAAGCATTTTTAATTAAAATTGTATTTAATTCATGGCAAAAATTCTGTTGGCATAAGGAAACTCCTCTGTTGTGTAACCATGATCAATTTCTATGAATTGCAGTTCATTATTTTGATTCTAATGCAAACTCTTACATGTTATATGCTGAGCAGAGATGAACACAGGTCCTTTACCAGAGCACAGTTTAAAGGTGACAGGTGGGATGAGCTCCAAACCAGGAAAACTGATCTGCAACAAATGACAAAAAATTCACTCATGTACGTTTATGATTAGAAGTAAGTTGTCAATCAATCAGTGACAATAATAAATTCACCATTGGCATGCAGTGGCGGAGAGTGGCAATAGGCAATGGTTTGGAAGCTCCGACACCGTCACAGACGGACACAATATGCATCTCATCTCCTGCCTCCTCACTAAGACATATCTGTGAAAACAGAAATCAGGCCATTTCAGAGGAATAAAAAACCTGTGGCTTTGTGTAGGTTATCAGGCCCATTCATACACTTTATCAATGCCTTTTTAATATTTCATCCAAAAATGTTAGTCATTATTTACTCGCCCTCATGTAACACAATGCAAATGACCCGTAAACACAAAAGGTACATTTTAAGTCTTTTATAATGAAAGTGAATATGGACTGGTACAGTCGAACCACAAAACGACAAAAGCATCAACACATTTTATAAATGCCCCTGCCCTGACACATTACAGTTTCTTATTAGCCTACTTCTAATTATTTTAAGCTTTTAGCCCACCACCGCATTAAATAAAAATGTATAAACAAATAATTATTAATTTATTTGTTTTAAATAAATACATGCATACATACATAAAAACACAAACTACACGGCTCCCTTTGTGTTTGTGTTCATAAGCATTGTTGAAAAGATTTGACTTTGAAGAATGATTCAAATGAATCGGATTTCCTTAATGATTCAGTCACAACGATTAACAGCTCACTTGTTGAGGCCCGGGAAAGCTGAACATACGCCACGGAAAAAGAAAGTCATAAGAGTTTGTAACGACATGAGGGTGAGTAAATGATGACAGGTTTCATGTTTAGTATGAGGCCCAAAACTGGGTTTGTGATAAGAACTGATACCGTTTTGATGAAGAACTGATTCTCCAGAAGATCATTTTCTGCTTGAAAGACAGCTGTGGTCTCGGAACCACTGAGTACACAACCTTTCAGAAAAAAAAAAAAAAAAATACAGCAAGTAAAAGTGGACAAAACACTGTAGGCAATCGAAATGGCTCTTTGTACAGGAGGGACGTGATCTTACCCCAGTGAACACAGGCTCTGTCAGACACAGACGATGAGCTGGATAATTCAGACAGACTGATTGAAGTTACAGAGTCATTTTCGACATAGCAGCTTGTCATTTCAGCCAGCACAAACGCTGTTCAGTTGAAATATCGTGAGAAGAGAGTCTGTCTGCACCCTTTCTTCCCCTAAAGTAGCCTAAACGATTCAGCACGTCCCCTTATGTTTGTTTACAACTAGGCGTTTTAGTAGCCTGATTCTTTTCATGAGAAAAGATTCAGCAATATACAATCAAGATCAATATAGCAAGTAATATCTGGCACAATGATTGAACAACTATGATGTTTTAATATGAACAGTGCTATGCACATCGACAGAAACACAGCACGCAGATCACTGATCATCAATTGGATCTGTGAGTGATGAACTTCAGGTGTTTTTGCCTGAGCGTGCGAGGCGCTTCATCAGACACCAGAGGGCGCTCGATGCCTTCTCATCAAGTGTGTTGCCTGAGGATGTTGTTGTGGAAAGTTTGTCCTACAGTAGTTATTAGTTATTTCTTAAATACAACTTTTTATTAATTTAAAGTTTGCTGAAACAACTGTTTTGTTTTGTGATACGCATTTTTTTAAGAAGTCCTAGAATTAAGGAAATTAATTGATTAATTAATGGAGCTGCAGTTTATTCCTTTATACTTTTTTTAAAATTATCTTAATTTATTAAAAAAATATATTGCCTTCTTAAGCATGCTGGCAGTCATAACCTGTGTCAACTAATTTTAACCAAGTATGAACACAAAAAAAGCTAAATGGCTGTTTAAAATGTTTTATTTTTTATAAACCATATAAACTGCTTATCACATTTTTACTTAACCCACATTAATATCTCTCTCTTCTTTCTGTATATATGTTTTCGCTATCTTTATACATTTAGCCACAGGGGAAAATCTAAATATTTCAGATCACAGCCATACTTGGTAATTTATAAACATGTTTAAGTCCAGGGGTCAGAGGGTGTAATTCCAGCAGAGAGATTATCATGCTATGATAATAATCTACATTTCTGTTTGATGATAACTACATTTCTGTTTCACATGTCAACATCTTATGCTCTGACTAAGCAACAGTTTTTTCTTCCACTTTTTAAAAATGTATTTATTTATTTATTTATTGTCTAAGGCAGGTAAATACCCCTTGCTTTTCCACAGTCACTAACTAGATCTTGACTGGCTCACTGTGGATTTTTCTTTAATTAAAATAAAATCCTCATTAATTGAATAAAATAGATAAAGTATGTCACTCAAATGATATTTTCAATACAATTAATTATTAATTATTATTATTAATAATTGGATATTATATTATATGAATTATATTATATTATTTGGTCCTTGAATTTGATTGGCTTAAAGGCCTTCCAAGAGCGCTGATATTTATTACATGTGGAAGTAACCCCATTTTTTTCTTCTACCTTTTTTTCCCCCTTTCTGTAAAATATAAATAGGAACTTTTCAATATTTTATTGTTGTACCCAGAAATGGCACATTTGGGTCATTAAGATCCCGTGTCATATTCTTGAGTATCTACCTTTTGCCTGAACATGCAAGTTCCCTGTGATTCATATCTTAAGCCTGTTATGATTTTCTGGTTAACATTTTTTTAATTTCACTTTGCCTCATCGTGATTCATTTCTTTCATTGTACATTTTTGTGGCTCGCTGTTTACTTGTTGCTTCTACATTTTTTTATCAAATGAATGCAAATCATTAGTTTTTGATGTGTTTATCCATGTGTATGAACTTGATTTTATTTACCAATCTAATTTGTTGCGCATTGTTTAACCATAATCAGATTTTGTTTTTTAAAAGAAGTCTCTTATGCTGCTCACCAAGGCAGCATTTATTTGATAAAAAACATACATACACATTTAAAAAATAAAAACATAATAATGTGACATTTTTAAATGTGAAATATTATTTCAATTTAAAATAACTGTTTTCTTTTGTAATGTATTTTAAAATTTAATTTATCAAAGTGTAATTTTTTTCATCATCATTACTCCAGTCTCAGTCTTCAGATGATCCTTCAGAAATCATTCTAATGTACTCATTCTGTGCTCAAGAAACATTTATTATTATTGTTATCAATGTTGAAAACAGCTGAGCCGCTTAAAATTATTGTGGAAACCGCGTGATCCATTTTTTTCAGGATTCTCTTATAAATAGAAAGTTCAAAAGAACAGCATTTATTTGAATTTGAATATATATATATATATATATATATATATATATATATATTTTTTTTTTTACTTTTTTTAAACAAGTTTACAATAAGGTTTCAGTAGTTAACGACGTTAGTTAATGTATTAATTAACAATGAACAAAATATTTGTTACAGTATTTATTAATCTTTGTTAATGTTAGTTAATAAAAATACAGTCGGTCATTTATTGTTTGCTCATGTTAGTTCACAGTGCATTAACTAATGTTAACAATTACAACATTTGATTTTAATAATATATTTGTACATGTTGAAATTAACATTAGATTAATAAATGCAGAAGTATTGGTAATTCTTAATTCATGTTAACTAGTTAACTAATGAAACCTCATTGTAAAGTGTTACCAAATTTTTTTTTACTGTGACTTTTGATCAATTTAGTGCATCCTTGCTGAATAAAATTATTAATTTCTTTAAAAAAAATCTTACCCCAAACTATTGAGCAGTATTGTATCTCTTCAACATGTGTGGATGGACAGTGCTTTCTTCATCAGGTTTTTTACATTTCTTTTCATCTGATCTGTGTGAGTACTTGTTTATCGTTGAAGAAGAAGAAAGACTTCTGACCTGTAGTTAACCTCTTAGGATTTTTATTGTCTTATGTTTTTCAGATATGCCTCACTGATGATGTTGCAGGGTGAAATTCTTGTACACGTTGTTTTTGCGGGTGAGTCCGACTGTTGGCGGTGCTGCTTATCAGATGGCTAAACAATCTATCCTGCTCTATGACATTTTTACCTCGTCTTTTCTGAGGAATTCTTCACATTCTCATTTTAGTAAGTCTCAATAGTGTACCCACTCACTACACACTCGTCCATGTTATCTCTGATGTCCCTGTTATCTTGGCATCGGCACCCTGCCCAGACCTGCAGTTTATTTGAGGAACACAGAAACTCATAAACAAGCACAGTATTACTTAGAATTATGAAGGAAATAGTAATTATGTTATACAGATATACTTTTGCGAGTTGTTTGGGTTAATACTATTTTAAGCCAACGAAGTGAAGTATTCTGATCTTTTTAAACGTGGTAGAACATGAATAGAAATGATTTACAGTAATTCCCTTTCACCATCTAAAAATGTAATATTTAATCGTTAATAATCATTAATTGAAGAAAATAATTGGTCACACTTTAGTTTGGGGAACATATTCACTTTTAACTATGACTTTTGCCTCAAACTCGTAGTTTATGACTTATAATTAAAAAAAAAATAGTCATTAAAAAAGTCATTACTTTTAGCAGTTCATTATTCTGATTTAGTCAAAGCACATCTGTTACAGTTTGATTGTTGCCATTGATTCGCTTATTGAATCTTGAATCCCCTACATTCCAACATTTATTTGTTTTAGAGATTCTGAGCAGCTCCGTCCATCTTCAAGCATGATCTGATATACCTCTTTAGGAAAATTCATCTTCCCTCCTGACATGATGCTGTTTATTATGGCTTTGAGCTGCATGGGAGGTTTGGAGATCAGTATCTCCTTAAGATGATTTTTTTTTTTCAGTACTTAGTGGAGGTCATTGACCGAGAGTAGGTACAGTGAAGTATCGTCAAATACCCGGTGCTAGTCTAAATGCCAGTTCTGACGTTTTTCCTAAGGATATTGTTTTGCCTTGCACTGTATTCACATGTTTCTGTTGTCAGCTCATCTTGTTCTGGAGGTTCTCCTTTAATTGTTTCCATCCAGTTGAGCTGGAGTGATACGGGTGTTGTAACATCCTGGGTTGGTCCAATGCCACATTCACCATATGAACTGTTCAACACAAATACTCACGCATGCATACCCTATATCTGTCTGGTGAGCTGTGTAGAACTTTATATATGGTGCAACTCATTCATTTTTTGTAATGAGTCATATGGACTTATAACACCTACATTTACATTTATTAATTTAGCAGATGCTTTTACAAATGAGGAATACAAACAGGCAAATCAACTTAAGGAGACAATAAACACGAGAAGTGAGAAGTTTCAGACCTCGGTCAGAACATTACAAGCTAGAACAGGAATAAAGGGATAAGCATAGAAGAAGATTATTGTTTGTTTTTCCAGCAGGGTGCAGTTTAGTGCTCATGGATGAGATAAGTTTTCAGCTGTTTCTTGAATATTTTCAAGGATTCAGCTGTTCGGATAGGGTGGGAAGATCATTCCACCAGCAAGCAACAGTGAACAAAAACCTTCTGGAAAGTGATTTTGAGCCACTTTTTGATGATAACACGAGGTGCAGCTCACTTACCGACCAGAGTGGAGGTACAGTAGGAGGGACCGGATCAGTTGACGTTCTGTTGGCAAGCACCAATATCTTGAACTTGATGCAAGCTGCAACCAATAAGCAGTGCAGAGAGATAAACAGGTGCTTTCGTGGGCTCGTTGAAGACCAGTAATGTTATTGCAATGTGGACCATTTGTAGATGTTTGATTGCATATCCAGCCAGGCGAGCATTGCAACAGTCCAGTGGTGTGGATGCATTGTGCATAATAGTGCAACAAGTTACTGATGCAATTTTAATAAAGCACTACAGGGTTTTTCCTGGCTCAAAATGAGGCGGAGGTGGTAAAATTGTAACACTAGGGTGGTCCAGGGGCATGCTCCCCCGGGAGAAAATTTTGTACATTTTAAAGATAAATTCATTAATCTGGTGCACTTTGAGTCACTCGAATCTGTTGTTAAAAATAAATAATAATCCACCCGCCAACCACCCATATTCTTTGATTTAGATATCTGCATCTGATCATCACATTACAATTATTCAATTAAGCATGATAATATGATAACATATCACACAATTAACATTTATTTAAATTAAAAGTTCTTCTTTTGGCAAAATTACATTTTCTTTACAGCCTAAACAGAGGCTTTACTCCCTTTAAACTTATTGTCAATGTTTCATTTTTGAAAACACTCTTATCGGAATAATTTTTTGTACCTTTATAAAGGGCATT